CTAAAGGATTCTATGATTCTAAGTTTGGAATTTAGCACATAAAATAAACCTACATTCAATACCAAAACAAAAACAATAGGAAAATATGCTGAATATTACAAGTCATTAAACTTTACTGAGAGCTCAGCATTGCCATAAATATTTAAATAGTAAACAAATATAGAATACCTGTTTTCATGAGCTTTAAATTCACACAGGCATTTTTGAGACTCACAGCTGTAGAATCTTATAATTTCATCATCTCCAGCTATGGCAAGGACAGAATCCTTGGAAAGGGAAAAAAGAAATGCAAGTGTGATTAATTTAATGGTTTTCAAGCCAGTTAATTTCCCAGCACCTTTCTTTCTTGTACTTACTGTAACAAATCTAAGTGAAGAAATTCTCTTCTCTGTTGTGATAGTGCCAGTGACTGAAGCTGTGTCAAGTTTGTAGATATCCACTTTGTTCATCACCACAGTTACATACTTCTCTCCATCAGGGGACCATTTAATTATGTGGGCATCTATACACACAGATACATTTGTATACATACATACACACACAGGATTTTTGCCCTCTATATTGCACAACAATCTAAAAGTAAGCATCTTTAGAAGCTGTTAGAGACTGTTTTCTACCTAAATCTAAAAAAAAAAATAATTTAAAAATATCAAATAATCTACAATAAATAAGTAAAATGATCCTCTTAAATATTTATTTTTGATTATCAGACGTGTATAAAGAAAACAAAAAAGCCCCACCTACATTTATTTAAATGTCCTGACATCAAATTTCAAGGAAAAATAAAAAATTACTTTAGTGTCACTATGTTTTCCTTTTAAGTAATTGTCATTAAGGGCATAAGCCTACACATGCTTGCCTGCGTGTGTGAAGAAGACGTTGCCAAAGTTGCTTGCAATTAATTGACTTGATGATTAATTCAGTCTATCTTTCTTTCCACAAAAAATAAAACCATCTAATTCCACGTTTTTAGTGGATTTAGACTGATGAACTCACTTTGCTTCAGGTTTTTGATAAAGGCTGATCGTCCTTCTACGAGATTCCAAGTTCTGAAAGACAAGAAGAGACAATTTTGCTTTCAGGTTAAAAAGAGCACAGTGACACTGAAGTTTTGTCTGCTGACATGAGGCATCTAAAGGAAGCTTTTAAGCATCTCTATGCATTTTCCTCTCTTCTTAATGCAAGAGAAAATGATGACTTCATATATGGCTTGCACACCGTTAGGCTGAATTTGTGATATTTACTTTATAAACCACCATTTGCAATGCAGAGCCCAAAAGGAGCCCAGTACCAACCTGTGCTGCTAAAATAGTATTTGATGTATTTAAAGCACATATATACATCAAGATGTACACACCAAGTGAAAAATGACTTTGCTCACACAAAACAAAACCTGACAGCTTACTGAATTTTAAATAAATTGTGTTCCAGAATGTAAATACATCTACAAATACATATCCTCTCAAGTAGCAAGTGACAGGACGAGAGGAAATGGGCTTAAATAGCACCAGGGGAGGTTTACATTGCATATTAGGAAGAATTTTCTTTCCTGGGAGAGTGGTGAGGCATTGGCCCAGGCTGCCCAGGGAGGTGGTGGAGTCACCATCCCTGGAGGGGTTCAAAAAATGTGTAGATGTGTCACTTCAGGACATGGTTTAGTGGCCATGGTAGTGCTGGGTTGATATTTGGACTTGATGACCTTAGAGGTCTTTTCTAACCTAAACAATTTTGTGATCTACAAGTGACCATAAAAAGTCAGATCACAACACAAAGCTAGGGGCAGCAAGGGCTATTTTTAAAATATTGCTGCTACCTAGAACTTAAAAAGACACACCAATGGATCTTTGAAACATTTGATGTCCAAATATGTTTTATCAGTGTTGCATATTTAACTCCCAACAGGAAATTGTGGCTTATAACAATTTCTAAGGGTTACTGAATCAGGATTCTCAGCATTCCTTTATCAGCTTCGACTCACCTTAATGTTTTATCTGTTCCTACTGACAAAGCTAATTTCCCAGAAGGATGAATAGAAAGAGATGTCACGTGCCCCCTGATAAAAACAAAACAACATCTATTATTTACAAGGAAAATAAACGTGAAAATGTATGTGAACATGCAGATTTAAGAAACTCACTTATGTGCCTTAATGGATTTCAGGCATTCCCATCTCTTTGTGTTCCAGATACAGATAAGCCCATCTTCAGCCCCACTCAGTAGATGTGAAGTTCCATAGAACTCCAAACATGTTACTGTGCCTAGAAGTACAAACCAGAGCTATTAATAATGTACATACTGAACAGCTATCACACAGAGAACATATGAATTAACAGAGAAGCTTCTAACATCAAAACATGATGGCCATAACATTTTACAACAGCTAAAATTAAAAGGTAATTGGAAAAAGCAGCTATATTTGTGGGCTAATACCCAGAATGATTTTTGGGGTTTTATGCTCAAAACCTTACTATTAAAGACTTATTAAAAAAAAACCCAAACTTTTTCTGTCAAGGGCCAGTTTTTCATCTCAAAGTTTCTATCATTAATGCTTTTTATGAAGAAAAGCTCCCTTACCATTGTGCTGCAGCAATGCCCCATGTTCTATCTTCTTTTTCATGTCATAAATTTGGATTGTCTCATCCCTGCTCCCAGTGACCACATATCTGTTATTCACTGCTACTGCTGACAATGAGGCAGAGTGGGCATGATGTGTAAAATCAGGGTCAACCGTCCAGGACTGTAAACGAAATACAGGATAAACAAGTCTTTCTGAAGCTCACCAGCGTCGGCTTCGATTTAACCATCCTGTAATTTATTTTTTAAAGCGAAACCTGAAAAGGCATTGTGTGTAAAACGCAAAGGAATTGTACTTAGCAATAATGGGATCTTACTGAGTTAATGTGCTGCTAAGAGATTAGTCCGAAGGCTTTAAGAGTGCAAAGCACCTCCTGTAATCAGTGCTGGGCCTAGATGAGGCTGCATGTGAAAAGCTATCAGCACAGAGATAAATCTCGTGTCAAGGACGGCGGATTCTGCCTTCTCCCACCACCGC